GTTTTCGCTTACCTTTCGCTTCGTGGCCAGCGTTTGATAAGGTCCATAATTCTTGTTTCTGGGCTATTTTTCCGCTAGGTGGCAGCATATATACTGCCCTGAATACTGAGCATATGTGAAACTGAAGGAGCATAGTTCTTCCCCCATCCCTCTTTTTCTGAGAGTAAATATCTTTGCAGCAATGGTGAGAATTTCACAGCCCTTCACGCGTTGCTAAACTAACATTCCTCAACCTTGGCTATGCTGGCTGGGGCTGCTAGATGTTGCAGTGTGAAAATATCTGAAGGGCTGCCCAGTTCCTACCCCTGCTCTACAGCCTGGGTTATCTTGGTTGTTCTTTACAGGAATTAGTTTCTACATCCACTGTCGACTTACTCACAATAAGCATTCCCCAGTATTACAACATACTGATCAAAAGAAGCAAAAGCCAGGATGGTACTGGGAAGAAGAAAGGGACAGAGCCATGCAAACAGATGTACTTCTCAGCGCAGAGAGACTGCACTGTGATATAATATCATGTAGTGATTTCTCTGGCACCAGAGGGATAATACTGTTATATCATTAGGGATGGAAATAGGGCTTTTCATGCATGTGTCCTTTTTTGCAACTTGTATTGTTTGTTCTTTTTAGTTGCTTTATTTTTTTATTAAAAATACTTTTATTGCTATAAAAAGAACACGTGACAATAAACAATACAAAACAAATACAACATTTACATACATAAACATAAAGCAAAACATGAAATACATTAAAACATAACAAACAAAAACAATGACAGAAACAAAAACAAAAACAAAACAGAGAAGAAAAAGAAAAAAGGAAAAAAGATAAATGAAAATAAAACTTCCTAGAGTGGTATAAAGCAATATCTCCGAAATCAATTTCATGACTAATTATCATCTATCTACAAATAAAACATCCCAGACACCCAGATCAAGTTGAGCATATCACATATTACAGATATTCCTCTATATGGCCCAATAACTGGAAGAATCTTGTATTTTTTATTTTTTTTATATATATATATATATATATATATATATATATATATATATATATATATATATATATATATATATATATATATATATAAAGGCCACTGTGGCTGCTTCCTCAGTGAGCTATCACACTTTTGGAGCTTGTTGTTGATGTTGTTGTGTACCCTGTGTGTTTCCAACTTATGGGGACTCTAAGGTCTATCCTATCATGGGGTTTTCTGGGACTGAGAGTATAAAACTCACCCAAATTCACCCAATGGGTTTCCATGGCCAACTAGGGAATCAAACCCTGGTCTCCAGTGTTGTAGTCTAACGTTGAAACCACTATACCATGCTGACTCTTACTTTTGGAGCGCTTATACACAAATAGTTGTTAAATAGCTTGCAAGAACTTAGAAAAGCAGCAATTTTCCATTTCTGTGGTGCCACTGCCCTATATTTCAGGCAGTGGCATCACTAATGGGGTGCGGGGGATGCGGAGTACACTGGGTGACACCCAGAAGAAAGGCAACACACAGTTGGACCCTCCTCCCCTCTCCCAGTAGCTTCAGCCCAGCACTTCCTCTCCAAGGAAAAAGCCCAGGACAGAGGAGGAGGAGGAGAACATGTGCACCCTTGAAGGCTGCTCTGTCCCAGGCTTTTACCTTGGAAAGAAAGCCTAGGATGGAGGAGGAGGAGGAGAAAGAGGAAGCACATGCACTTGCAGTCTGCTCCATCTCAGGCTTTTTCTTGGAGAGGAAGCCCAAGACAGAGCAGCCTGCAAGGGAGCACCTCTCCTCCTCGGGCTATGGGCTTTCTCTCTAGAGAAGAAACCTGGGATGGAGGAGGAAGAGGAGGAGTGTGTGTGTATCCTTGCAGGCTGCTCCGGCCCTGGAGGAGGAGGATGAATGCACACTGCGATGAAGCCTGGAGGTCCAGTATGCCATTGTCACCATTGCTGCCCCCCACAGCACACTGCCAGCCCAGACCCAACAGCCCACCCCTGTACTGGGTGACACCAGCATGGAGATGCCACTGATTTCAGGCACATATCCAGCTTTTTTCATATGTCTTTCATGTCTGCTGTGTTTTCATCCAGAGCACTTTTACAAAAAATTTGACTATGTAGAGTCTGCTATCCATATAAGATTACATAGACTATTGATAGAAAAAGAGGGGAGGAAAAAGGAGTCTGTTAGCATAACAATCTTTTATTGTTATCATTTCCTACAAGGTTTATGACAGATTCTGATACAGTGAAAATTATCACAAACCTACCTGACAGTATATTGGTGCTCCCACATTTAAATAATTTATTCACATGATGCACGCAAACATCAAAGGTCATCAGTAACCATTCTTGTGGCCGCACACCATCATCAGTCCCTTATTGCTGTAAAAGATTGCTTTAAATTTGTTCTGACTGCAGTCACTTCTTGGAGTTTTTCTCTCCCACAATCCTTTACTACTTTTGTGCTGGGGATGCTTTGGTTTTATTAAGAAAGTTCTCCCTATCACCAGACCCCTGGCCTCAATCTGATTACATCTTATGCCCAATGTGTGAGTGTCTGTGTGTATGTGAGCGCGTGTGCACTCGTGCACTCACTCACTCACTCACTCCAACTCTAAATGTTGAGCTTCATCAACTTTGCTGAAACAGATTTTTTTTTAAAAGAAAGATGCCAAATTAAAGGACAAACCAAATTTGAAATCTAAGATCTTACCTCCTCCTGAGACTCTGGCTCCTTGCAAAGAAGCCTTTTCTGCTGTATCTCTGGAAAATATTGCACTGCCCTTTCCTGGCCTTTCCTAAGTTAGGTGCAGGATGTTAACTTTAATACATGAGTTTTATCTCACACCTCTGTGCCCAGGCAGGAGGCATCCCATGCCTGATCTGGACTTCTCCCACACCTTGCAAAGAATAGGAAAGTCCCATTTTTTCAAAAAGTGCAGAAGAAGTCTGGATCGGGTATGGGATGCATCCTGCCTGGGCACAAAGGTGTGAGATAAAATTTATATCCAGTGCCAAGCTTGGGAGGAAAGGACAGGAAAGGGCAGTGCGATAATGTCCTCTAACTCTAATGGTACCAAGTATTAACGATTTTCTGAGGCCCCTGGGACTAACAGATTGTCAGAGCCCATTACTATACATCTTCCAGCTTTATCCATGTGAGATGCTTAAGACAAATTCCCTCACTTACCAAATAATTCACCAGACTTGACCCAGACCCATTCATTCTTCTCCATCTGTTCTAGAAGTTTGAATACTATCTTGATACGGTTGTCTTTCTATGACCAGTTTCCTTTCCACTGTGAGCAGTCTTAAATTAATTCTCATTTTTTCTACAAGTGGTACTGATACCATGAAGACTCACCATATACATTTGTATCATATCACGACCAGTATCATTGAGATTATTGTGGACTTGACCCTGTAGTGCAGGGGTAGGCAACCTAAGGCCCGGGGGCCGGATGTGGCCCCCCGAGGCCTTTGGACCGGCCCCAGGCCAGTCCTGCCGCCGTTGCTGCCGCCGCCCTCTACCACCTGCCATGATGATATTGATTATTGTTGTTATTACTTGTTCTTGGGGTTTTCTTGGCAAAATCTCCACAGGGGTTTTGCCATGGCTTTTCTGGGGCTGAGAGAGTGTGCATGCATATATTTTAATTTTTTATTTATTTTTTTAATTTTTAATTTTTATTTTAATTTATTAATTAATTTATTTATTTTTGGTGCTTTGGCCCCCCAATTGTCTGAGGGACAGCAACCCGGCCCCCGGCTCAAAAAGGTTGCCTACCCCTGCTGTAGTGTCTTACTGGTCATACTCATCTTCTTGTAGAGATAAATACTATCATCTCGAATCATCCTAAGTCTTGTCCCTCACTGCATTCTGATTATACATGGTATCATCATCATTCAAGATCTCAATACTGCCATAGACCCCCATAAGCACTGCATAATATTGTTCTTTCTTCTCCACTGCCTCATGTTATGTAGCCATGATTTTGGTTCAGCCTTGTACTCCACTTCCAAGATCTACAGCCTTTACTACACAAGCCATCTTCTATTACATCGCCTCTACCATTAGCTCCTGTGCAGAGTACCAGAATGTCTACTGCCACTGTATATTCAGCACTGCTTTCAAGTCTACTTCCACTTTCTACCATTCAGATTGCACCTCCTCCACCTCTGCTCCTTGTATAACCTCTGTTCTAGTTCCTCAATGGTACCATCTGTTCAGGTCCAGTTGATCCTATCAGCGATTACTCAACAGCAAGCAGATTCTTCTGTCAATGACTACAAATTCAGCATCTTCTCCTTTATCACCACTATTTTTAGCCTCTTCACCTAATGTAGATGTTGCCAACTCAGCTACTCTTTCTCCTCCTGAGGACTTACAACCTTACACAGAGCTTATGTTGCACATGCAAAATCTATAGGGCTTACTATCTCTGCATCACCTGCCCCATTTGCTGATTCTGTGTTTCAGTATTTGAACTCAACAGGAAACAGCGCCAGTAATTTTTTCCTCTTTTTGCCAAAGGTAATTAAGCAATTTTGGCTCAAACTGGCTCCTCCCCCATCTCATGGTTGGAAATATTTCAGGATTCAGCAAGAGGATGCTCTTTTCTTTTCTTTTCTTTTCTTTTCTTTTCTTTTCCACAACCAGTTTCCAGCTCTCTTGTTGTGGAGGAACAGAGGAAAGATATTAAGAAGATCCATAGTGTACCAGATGGCAGGAAAAGAAAGTGGCTTGATGCCTTTGGATGTCAGTTTTATTCTTCATTTGCCTTTACTGTTAGGGTGGCTAACCTTTAGGAATACATGGCTGCCTATCAACAATTTCTTGGGGATAAAATGCTGTCTTTCATTCCGTTTTTCCCCGATGACCGGAAAAATGTGGCTACCCTTTTTCATAAAGAAGCCCACCAACTTGCTGCATCTACAGTCAGCTAGGCATGTTTGCCAATTGTGCAATGAAGGTGATGCCAGGTACTATTGCCCTCTGGAGGGATGCATGGCTCCACTCAGCTGGTGTCTCTGAGGACTTGTGAAGGTGCATTGAAGTTGTCCCATTCATTGCTGTAGGAATGAAACCATGAGTTGCTCATTCAACAGCTAAGAAAACAAGACTTCAGGCTTTAGCATCAGCAACAAAGTCCATTCTGGAAATAACAGTCTTCTTCCTCCTTTCTATGTTCCAAGTCTCCATCCAGATCTATTTGTATGCCTTCTAATCCCTCTGGATCCCAACAGAAGTGCCAGTATGCTCATCTTGTTTCCATCAGTCTAGTTCATTTAAGCAGTCTTTTTCTTGATACGCGTCTTGCCTTTGACTTGATTTCCAGAAATCCACCACAACCTCGTTTTCCCCATTCAAATCCTTTTACCATCTTGGGCTCCCAAGCTGTACTGCTACTTCAGCAGCTGGTGAAACAGCACTAACTCTTGGGTGCCGATGAAGGGGCAGTAAAATATCTACCAGCATACTGCAAGCACGCCAGCTATTTCTCCCATTATTTTATGGTGCCAAAAAAAGATGGAGGTCTATCACTCAACCTGGATCTCTGAAGTGTCAATCAATACATCTGACTCTGAAAGTTTAAGATGTAAGGAGCTAGGTTGGGGGGCTTTTGCTCAGAGCAAGTGAGTCAGAGACTTGCTTGGGGAAGATGCTAGCAATCGATAACTCTATATAGCTATAGCTCCAGTCCCTTCAGCTCATTGACAGCGCTTGGTGAAAAAGGCCAGGCCAACAGGGTTTTTTTTTTTGTGGGTTTCTAACTGAGGACTTTTGGAGGGGGAAGCCCAGAGTCCTGTTTCACTGACTACTTTAGACTTAAAGAAGCATAGAAGCATAGAATCATAGAGCTGGAAGAGATCACAGGGGTCATCCAGTCCAATCCCATTCTGCCATGCAGGAACTCTCAATTAAAGCATCCTCGACAAATTATTATTATTATTATTATTATTATTATTATTATTATTATTATTATTATTACTATCCCACCCCTCTGCAAATGCAACTGGGGCGGCTTACAACATCAAAATATTATAAATACAATATAAATCCCAAGACCCGCTCACCCCTTAAAATATTATTAAACAATAAACAAATTAAAACACAGTTAAAATAAGTTACAACGGACGTTATCACACGGGGAGTTGCGGGGAAAAAGTGGAAATAAACGGGACGAGCGGCAGACTTTAATTTACGGGATTTGTCCTGTTCCGCCTAGTCTGATAACTAAATTCGAATTTAAAAGGGGGTTAATTTGAACAAAAACCTGATCTTTTCAAATCCTCAAAAATCCCGAAAATGAAAAGATCAGGTTTTCATTTGAATTAACCCCCTTTT